GTTGTTAGTGTTGCATGTGTGCGCCAATAGAGACATATATATATATATATATATATATATATATATATCAATGGTTGCTGCTCTTTCTAATACCTAGGCCTGGGCCTTTCCATATAATTGCCATATACTGTGTATTTTTTTAATTTTTGCTCCTTCTTTAACTGTAAAGTTAATGATTTTAGTTTGTGGACAAACCAGACTGTGCATTTAAAGAACATTTTGGACATGTCTGGCAACATATTTCAGTTATTTATTTATTTATTATTATTTATTGTGTTACATGTCATCATTAAGAATTAATGAGCAGTAATGGTGGTGGAAGAAAATAGATGACATGTCAGGCTTTGCAGGAAAATTGCAACCAGTGGTCTGCAGCGCAGTGACCATCCAGATCTTACTGTAGGATCTTTGTATTTGTTGTCTAACCATCATTGTTGGTCTTCAGCTTGACACCTCAGACATCACCTGCCTTCTGGCTAATAACATGGCTGGTTTGAAACTAAAAGCTAACGTCTGCATGAGCGAATAAATGTTTAGGTGTTTTAAGGCTTCCCTCAACATGCCCGGTGCTCCTGCGGCGATGGAGGGGTGTGAAGTGCTCCCCGGAGAGTGTGGGTTCACTCCTGTTCGCTCTCTGATTAAACAGTAGTACGTGCTGACAGCTGGAGTGGAGGAGCGTGATGCACTGGGGCACAGATGAGTGAGGATCAGCCCCTCAGTGATGCTGTGGAAATGACACCGTTGCTGTCCTAAGGCCGTGACCTGAGGACTTTTCCGTGACCAATTAGGCCTCTGTCGAATTTGATGATCGTAATACTTGGCATATGTTGGTCCACAGCAAGTGCAGAGCAGTTGTAGAAAAAACAATCACCTTCTTAAAACATCTGTTATAATTGCTCCACCAAGCATAACCTCATCAGATTAAAATGCAGCGCTTTAACAGGTGCGTCCTTTGTGCAGCTGTCATGCTTCAAATAAACAAAACGCCCTCCACAGGAGCTTTGTGGTATTTGAGTGACGGTACTAGTATTAGTTGTCAGTGACTCTGACTGTACCTTATTGACAATTATAGTTACCTTTGTGGGCAGGGCACCGATAGGTTAAAGAATATTCCAGCAAACCTCTGTCTGGTGCGTGTGTAGAACTTATCTTATCTCTACCTTCATTAGCACTGGGTATTATAGCACAGAAAACCAATGTACTGACCAGTCAGAATCTGTCTGCTGCGTGTGTAGAACTTATCTTATCTCTAGCCATGTTAGCGATAGTAAGTTCTACGACATAGAACTTCCCATCTCATGATACAGCATGCTTTCTACCGTGCTGTGGAGCTCCGCAGTGTATGTTAAAGTGGTCAGTTTATACATGTCTGTCATTCAGAGACATGCCCTTGTTTTGTTTTCCTTTGTCTCACATCAGCTGTTTTTAAGGTGTGTCGCCATCAGGAGTTTGACTGATGCTCCTAAAATAAACACAGGTTCTCCATTTGTACTTGTCATCACGCGATCCGTCTCCAGCTGCCATCTTGGAAGTGCAATACAACGTGTATTACCAGCTGACGTAAACCTCATATCTTAGCTCACTTATCAGTAGCGCACGTACGCACTCACAGCTGACAACCTGAGAAATTAAAACACACACATTCTCACGCAAAAACTTATAATTAGGCCAGTGTCGCTAGGAGGTTGATGATTGCGTGATTACGTGTTCACCAAAATCAATAGCTGCAGCGCCTCCAGGTGTCAAAGTGACTTGACTTGAACAGACACATGCAGACACAGTTATGGATGGGTGTTGATAAGAATTCAACAGTTTATGCTACTATTGATATTACTGACCGTTAGAACAGTTTAAGCTACTATTGATATTACTGACCGTTAGATTTATCAACTCTTATCGCTAATGTAGCGCAGTCACTTAGCCTCTCTGTTGCTCATGATAGCACTGTGGCGTACGCGTACAAGTAAAGCTAAGTGACTAGCGAGTGACACTTGAACATATTTTGGAAAGATTTTTTTTTAAGAAATCCAGTCAACGATCTGTCTGACAGACATTTTATTTTAATAATAAATGATGCACATAAAACAATTTAAACAATCCCACTGAGCTGCGGGGGTTAGGCAAAGGACAAAAGGAACAGGCAGTGATGCGACATTACGGATGTCAACTGCCATAAAACCCCAGCATCCTGAAGCAGCTCGAGGAATAAAGATTCATAACAATCGCCCCCGCCATCGCAGTGATTGTGGATCGCTGTTGCTAAACATAACCACGCATATTTATAATGCTCACGGAAACGGTCAGAGGGTGAAATATCATCCTTCAGATTCACTTTTAGGAAAGCCGTTGTGAGTCTGTGCAGAGAACGAACAGCGTTTAAACCGTAGCCTATGGCTCTTTAGACATCTTATTTTCCTGAGTGTCTCTGAAGAAAACAGATCTGGAAGGATTTGCGAGTAATTAGTAACAAATGTTTCATTTCTATATTAATATTTGCAGCACATGTTTTTTTTTTCCTGGTGTTGTGTAAACCTGCAGTATTTTAGAAGCTTTTTAGAACACTTATAAATAAGCGTTTTGTTTGGTCTTGTCCTTATTTGCCTTCCTTATTAAGTGTCCAACAATGCTGTTTGAACGGCATTAGAAACCTCCTTCAGCTCCGTTACCTGTCAGAGCACGCTTGGTCACTTCCAAGCATTTCTTTGCTGTTTACACAGGTTGATGAAGCACACAGGTGGGTTTGGTTTCATCACGTTATCGTTTACCTGCTGAAAGATTTGATTCCACTCATATCTGTTTTGGCCTAGTCCTAGCCAGGAAGCCTGAAAGTGATATGTCAAATGCAGGCTTCTGTTTACTTTTCAGTCAGGTATAATTAACCACCACAGTTGGGTCAACTCGGCCGTAACAGATGGAACTGTTTGACTCTTTTCTGCTGGTCTGAAATTTCAGTTCTTCCATTTGTACATTAGGATGCAACTGCAGACAAAGTCATTTTTCTGTGGTGTTTTACTTGATAATTACTTCCTTGGAAAAACCCCAGAAGACTCACTATTTAATAGACAATATGTTTAATTGAGCAAATTAGAACAGGACCATATAGCACGGCAGCTGTGTACACACACGGTGGAATCTGATAAGAAAGCCCTGAGAGCATCAGGGAAGGATGCAGTGTGAGAAGAGCTGGTTGGAACCGAGGACAAAAAAAGTAGCTTTTTTTTTTACCCAAATGTCCTTCACTGATTACACAACAACTCTATATCTCTGCCAATGACATTAATCATGTCAGAGAAACAGGGAACAGGCTTGATTTTAAAGCCACGGGGGATTAAACACACAACCTTCTTGCAAAGATTGGTCGAGAAACTTTTCGAAAACAAAGTCCCGCTATTATGTAGTTTTGTACTGTTATCTGTAG